TTCGACATCCTCCGTCGCGACCCTATCGGCGAGAACTGGGCTTGGCTTTCGTTCGCAACAAGGTAGCTGTAGGGAGAACCTATGGGCTGGATTGAATCCTTCTTTTTTTCCGGTATGCCGCTCCGCGAGCAAGGAGCGAGAGAACCAAGTGGGCTGTGGTGATGTCAGAATTTGCACCTATTTGTATCTATTTAGTGATCAGTCCGCTAGTTTCTTTGATCCCACTCGGTGTTCCTTTTCCATTTGCTTCCAATAGTTCGACCTATCCAGAAAAATTGTCGGCCTACGAATGTGGTTTCGATCCTTCCGGTGATGCCAGAAGTCGTTTTGATATACGATTTTATCTTGTTTCCATTTTATTTATTATTCCTGATCCGGAAGTCACCTTTTCCTTTCCTTGGGCAGTACCTCCCAACAAGATTGATCCGTTTGGATTTTGGTCCATGATGGCCTTTTTATTGATTTTGACGATTGGATTTCTCTATGAATGGAAAAGGGGTGCTTCGGATCGGGAGTAACCACTAGTGATAGGGAAAAAATCGGGGGAAGGACAAAGGAAAGAGCGATGCCTACATTAAATCAATTGATTCGTCATGGTAGAGAAGAAAAACGGCGCACGGACCGTACTCGAGCTTCGGATCAATGTCCCCAGAAGCAAGGAGTATGCCCGCGTGTTCCAACGAGAACACCGAAAAAACCTAATTCAGCTCCACGTAAGATAGCCAAAGTACGGTTGAGCAATCGACATGATATATTTGCTCACATTCCAGGCGAAGGTCATAATTCGCAGGAACATTCTATGGTCTTAATAAGAGGAGGTAGAGTAAAAGATTCGCCAGGTGTGAAATCCCATTGTATTCGAGGAGTCAAGGATTTGCTGGGAATTCCGGATCGAAGAAGAGGCAGATCAAAATATGGTGCGGAAAAACCCAAATCGATATGAATGGAAGATGCCTCTTGAACTTGTTTTTCTCGGTCAGTCGAGGGAACAACCACAACGTTACGCCCCAAAATAGAACTATACGGAGCCCTTCCGAATGACCTATAATATAGTCTACTACACTCTTTCTTGGCTAGTGTAGTAGACTATATTCGCCCGTGGAGGTGAGTGGAGGAAGAATCAAAAAATAGAAAGGTATTGCTTATAATAGTTGCTCGTTCATAAATTCACTCGACCACTTGTTAGTCTTGCTACACTATACGACACGAGTCTAGGGTGAAGTTGAAGCAGACACGGCCAAGTGAAGTCGACTTCACTTGTGATTCAACATACCATATGGAAAAGAAAAAGAAGAGAAGGGTCTCGCCCAGGTGGCTCCCGCAAGGTAACGACTTCAAACTCAAACAAAGAACGTTCTTATCCAAGGCATGAGTCAAAGAAAATGCTGTATGTATCTAATGCAAGACCCGTCGATAAGCTAAGGCTACGACATGAAGGAAGGCTAGAAGAACTACAGAACCACGCCCACCAGAGCTAAAGGGGACCGAAGGGAGTTGCGGGAGGAAACCGAAAGATAGGTAATCCATATGGTGAAACATGAGAAAGAGGGATTGCTTAAAACCGGAAGAAATCGAGTCCACCCACACAACGACCGACGGACTCGTGGTACTGAAACCCTCATTAGATGAGAAGGTGACTGCCTTAAGTAGGGGTGCCCCTGAACGTACGTTAACCAAAGGCCCCTATCAACTCAATCTGGAAAGGGAATAGACCGCCGTGAACTCCGGCGAAAGGCCCCGTACGACCTGCGGGAGGTGAAGGTCGCTGGCTTGCTTACCGGACAAGGGGCCGTGGTATCTGACGGGACATTGGCCTCCCTCCCCTTTATTGAACAGGGCTCGCTGTACGTTCCTTTAGCTATAGGCGTGTCCAATCCGATAATAGTCCGTTCCACATAGTGCAAGGAAGCCCTCCATTAAACTAGGGGCTTTCATACGAGGGTCCTGCGTACTGTGCCATCGCCCAACCAGTACGGCCATCCCTGCTATGGTCAACAAGCTCTTGTGTAGGGACTTGCGGTAAGCCGCCATTTTGTGTACGCACTGTCCCTTCGCAGTTTTGGTGAGTAACCGCCGGTGTCTGCTGTTCTCATCGTTTCACCGGACCTTGAGTTGCCCTACCCAAACAAACTTGTTTGCCTAGTTGGGCTTAATGCGTCCCCGGTTTAGAAGGACGCCCCACCCCCTGCTGCGCTTGTCTTTTCACCTTTGTGATTTCTTTTCCGTTTTTTCTGGTACTCCTCCCTTTTTTTGTTGGGAATTGGTCCAAGGTTTGGTTGTTCTGGCCTTGCCATCGAAGGTTTCAGAAATGCTTTAGTTACGCTCATCGCATGATTAGGATCAATCAGAACAGCCTCACCTGCCCTGGAAAGCAGATGGAGGGAGAGATCAAACTGTCAGCTGTGCCATTAGGAGCCCTTTCCCACTTATTGTTTGGGGAGAACAGCCAGTCAGAAGGTAGAGCCTTTACAGGGGGTATATCTGATGATGGAATCCGTGATAACTGATGTCAACATCGGGAAGTGGAGTTCTGGGGCTTGGATTTCCCTTTCATCATTTAACTACTAAGCAAAATAGGCCAACTACAGGCACTAAGGTCAATGAAGTACGTGCCGCACCATTTACATTTGACTGGTGAAAGCTTAATCTCATCTCTAGTTGTACCAACGAGGAGAGTCAATACTCAAATACGCCAACTCATTTAGTATAGTCAAACTCAACATACGACGAGGCTCTTCAAGAGAAGGGAAGGTTACGTACTCCCTAATCGTAGAGCTAACAAAGGATCCTGCCTGTAGCTTGTGGCTTTGTTAGTTGGCTTAATAGCTTGCTTGGTCCGATTGTTCATGTTGCTGGTCCCGCTGCCCTTACCTACTCAAATCCCGAAACGAAAAGAGTAGTTACCGTTCCCTATTCGTCCTGGTCCCTGTGAAAGGTCCAGTCGATGGGAAAGAATCCATGTTAAAGTCTTATTACCGAGTGCGAGCTGCTTTCTGTGGAAGGTTCGATTACGGGAAGGAAATAGAGGCGGTAAGGGACCGCTTTCCTTTTATGCTTCCCTACGTGGAAAATGAATCAAACCAGTTCTCCCTCGACCTGCAGGTATTCTAAATGGTTATTGTTTATGCTCGTATATCATAAAAATGATTCATTGGGAGGGCTTGGAAAAGGAAATCCACTTCGTACCTTCGTATCTATAATCTAAACACTTCTCACCTCTGCGCCTTCTGTACTTCCCGGCTCAAGCAAGAGCCACAGTGACTGGAACAACAGGAAAGCCACCTTAATCAGTCAAGCAAGCAATTTGAATAGGGATTATGAACAGGCCCTTACCTTGGCCTTACCCGTTCGATTGATTGTTCTAAAGTCGAAGTCCTTTCGTTAAGTCGAATTGAAAGGTAGGTTTTGTCAGTGATTAAATGGAAAGGGGGAGCGGTTCGGGCCTACTCTTGAACTTTTAGGCTAATTAAAAGCCAAAACAAAGGCCACGGCATGTAACTGAGAAAGATGGGATTCGGTCAACAAACAAAGGAAATTAAAACACTCCCTTCTTTCTGTCGACAATGATGAAAACCAGATCGAACTCTAAACTAAAGTCAAGCCTTTCACTTCATTGTTCAAGCTCTTGAACATAGGTTGAGTTCATACATTATGAATGCTTTCCTATTCAAGACATACTACCAATTCCTTTGAAGCTACTACCACTACCGAAGCTGGCTTGCTTGTTTTGGTTACCGGTTGAGGTTTTGAAACCAGAGAAAGAAGATCCGGTTGGGCTTTCTAGCGATGGGAGATTAGTCACCGGAAGACTTGCTGGCTTGCTCCTTCAAAATAAGGTGGATAAGACGGGTGGCCTATTCCAATAGCTGGCAGACGGGCTATTATGCCTATTCAACATATTCCGATTGTGATACAATTCCATTGCCTGCTCCTATTCATGTTCGTGCTTACTTGTATGCCGGAACTTCAAGGTCAATAAAAAAGGACTCCTATCCTAGGTCTGAAACTCGGTCTGCTTGCTCCTACAAAAGCTCATACGGTGTGTATCCTACTCCTCTCCCGATACGAGTTATTTCCTGACCGTTCCCTCGTGCTTGTTTCAGGAAGCACTTCGGTCACTCCAGTAAGTATATAGATTATTTGACAGACGACAAAGAGTGATTTACCGACGAAAAGAGGTCAAGCCGATTAGCAAGTCGACCAACTCGTTCACGTTCATTTGACCTACTCTTAAGATAAGACTGTTCCCCTTTAGCTTCTTTAGTCAATTCTAATTGTTCACTCTTAGTTGACCGTTCCGCTGGGGCTTCCTCTTTAAGTGGAAGCCCTGCGCTGCACTCCAGTGTTGAATTTATTGATCGACGAAACGAGTTATTGCCATTTCATTTTGCATTTACATAAAAGTGGGAAAGGAACAGACTTTAGTTGACGGAAAGGAAATGTATATTGATACGTTCAATCGAGTCCCGTTCTCTATTCCTATGAGGGGACGAGCGTGCAACTACAACAAGTAACTGTCTTTCTGTTCCCGATCCCAGAGTTAAGGTATGATAAAAAAGAGACCGAATTACAAGAGTCGGGACTACTTGGTCGTACCCTCATCCTAAAAGGTCAGCCCAGATAGATATTTATCTGCAGTCTCGATTTTGATGATTCAACTTATCTTTGCGAGCTAGCCCGGTGCCCCATAAACCAGCTCTTCTCAGAACCCGTGGGGAGAGTCAAAGCTGTCTCTTGAGCTCGGTCCTTCTTAATTGATTGCCAAATCTGAATCGAATTGCCATGCTCTAATCAAGGAGCGACCAATGAAAATAGAGTGACAAGTTCTAGGGCGAAGGACTCTGATCCTGGGCTTTTGAACATCAAGCTTGTGGACAGGCCTCTCTCTTCCTTCTTCTCTACTTCCCGCTCTTTTACCTTTGTTCACCGGTCAATACCTAAAGCAGGTGTCATTCCTGCTTATGTGGTATGTGGGCGGTGACAAGTCGGCCAGACCCAAAATGACTACATATGTATCTCTAACTCGAAGCGGCATTCCGCGCTTCATCCCCCCTCAGTATCGTAAGATTCTTCGAAGAGGAGATGATCCGAGGGTCATTCGAGTAGTGCTCTCAATTTGTGCACTGTCTCGTCTGATTAAGGTTGTTCCGAAACGGGGGTTGAGAGTCAATCCCTCAACCATCCACATTCCAAACTTCCAACTCGGAGAGCCTGCGCAGAAGCTCTGTGTTAAGCTACTAACATCGGGCTTCTCGATGCTAGGCGCGTATGCTCCAGCCTATCGGAAAATCCCGTTGAGACTGGGATTCTCCTTTAAGCCTATGTTCACTTCCGGTCCGAACACAACCAAGGATTTCCGAAAGGAGTCCTCTGTTAAGCTACGGAACAGCGTGCCACTAGCGGAGAAGTGGAAGAAGTTTCAAATGACTATCTACCACTCCCTGCCAGTGGACGCCTCTGCGCTTTTCACATTGTTTAAGCCAGAGGATCTCGCTGTTATAGGATCTCTATGGTTCTCTGACCGGGAAATCATTCCTGATTCCGGTTATGATAACCCTGTTGATCCCGTTAAGGAAGGAACGGACGGTTTTGGTTGGTTGATTAATTCGTTACTGCCTCCAGCGCAAGCTTTATGGTGGGACACGATGGTTACCCGACCTGAGGCTGGACGCTTTGGGCGTAAACTTGAGGGGAGTGGTAAGATTCGGCTGTTCGCGATTGCGAACCCGATCTTTCAGACGCTGTTAAGGCCTCTGCACGATTGGGTTATGAAGGTCCTTTCCACCATTAAGATGGATGGGACTTTCAACCAGCTGGCACCACTGCACCGCCTTAAGGGTATGAAGGATTTATATTCCTTCGATCTTAAGTCGGCGCAGGTAGAGGAGGGCCTCCTGCCTGTAGATCTTTCTGGATCTTTGCTGGCTAGTCTGTTCGGTGATTCCTTGGCTCAATCATGGTGCTTTTTGATGACCATGGTTGGGTTTCGGAGTCCTGACAGACTACCATCAAGGTTGAAGGCGAGAGTCTACCGGTTTACTCGGGGTCAGCCCCTCGGTTACTACTCATCATGGCCGGTCTTCACACTTACGCACCATGCGTTGGTGTGGTTGGCCGCCTATGAGGTGTATCCAGGGCGGAGATTCGAGGATTATGCTATCCTCGGTGATGATATAGTTATCGCCGATCGGAAAGTGGCGTTAGAATATCAGAGGATCATGGAAGAAGCACAAGGGGTAATATCGAAAGAGAAATCCCTTGTGTCCTCCCGAGGTGCTTGTGAATTTGCTAAGCGCTTTATTATTAATAACCATAGATTGGACAGGACAGATTGTAGTCCTGTCTCTCTATCGTGTATTAAGCTGTGCCATGGATTCGTGAGTTCCTTCGTCTTTCAACAGTTGGGAGTCAATATTCTTAACTCCTTTCGGCTGAAAGCCTTATAGTTCATGGGCGTGTGTTCTCAAAGATCAGAGTGGGGAGTGATCGTTTATTCGACCACCTCTCGCTCCGATGGAAGAGGCACTGGTTAACTCTGTTTTCTACGTCCGGCATCCACCCTCTCCCTTTCAAGTTGTGGTTAGCATATCCTGAAAAGGGTATTCTTAACTGCTACGAGGAAGGTGCAGTAAGGGCGTTCATCCTGGGTCGTGTTGAGCCTAAAGATTTAGACGAAAAGTCTATCTCTGAACTCAACACATTCTGGGTGAATGATGATGATATGATGCTGGAGAGACTTTGAAAGTCATTTCTCAAACTCCATCTTGACTATCTTCATTGGTATGCTAAGGTAATCTTTGATTACTCTATCTCTTTTGAGGATCTAATGAAGCCCCCCGTCGCACCCCGGCGAATAGCTCGGGTGTCCGATGAGTCCACCTTGAAGAGGTATGGGCTCGCGTTCAAAACGTGGGACTTCGTTCGGCAGTTGGAGCCTGTAAGAGCTCTCGCTCCGCCTCAACATAGTGAAAACTGTGTTGGGGGTTCCTGATCTTTCATGCTAACTTGTAGTTTGTTGGCTATCATTACGATAGGCACATTTGCTTTCTTGTGAAATCCCCGTGAATCCTTTGGTTCGTGGGATTCATCGAAAACCCATAGATCATAGTAATTGTGTGCCCCAGTGAGATCATCTCCTCGGGAGCTGGTAAAATAGATTCTTAAAACACGGGATAGTATATGGAAAAGGGCTGTCTTCTGCATATTTGGCACTCCATAAATGAATAGCTGCTTTGTTTTTATCGGCCTGTGAAAAGATAGTTGACAAGCAATCCAATCAAGTAATAGATATTTCTCTTCTAGCTCTTCGATCTCATACTCCTCCGGTTGTCCATGTCTCTCAAAATAATCTATAAATCTCTCTCCCAGAGTTGTTTGCATATCTCGAACTACCTGTAGATCCTCATATAGATTCCTCATGCTCTCATAGGAATGCCAGGATAGCTTCCTTAAGAGCTCATCGTTCTATATTTCGTACCAATCCTGACATCTTAGGAGCTTGTCTATGATTTGCTCTGGGAGACTCGTCTGAGACCTAGACCTTTTGAGCTTTGGACTCGCCCCGGCAATCTCAATGATTTGCTGCCTCGTATACTCCCCCCATACAAGAGGTTCCTTATCCTCTTTAAGAATATATCTACAGATGGAAGCCCAACCCCTATGAAATCTCACATCGATTGCTCCTCCTTCCCATTCTTGGAACACCTCTCTCATTTTCTTAGTTGCAGTATTCTTGGATTTGGATGCAGTTCTGTTGCGTACACCCGCATGAAGGTTATACCCACCTTCACTATGGTTCTCTTTTGCAACTAGAATGGCCCTGCAGTCGAATAGTTGCCTAAGCCGGTCTCTCACCAACTGTTTATTTGCGTTTGGCCTTCTCTCTGCATGACTTAGTGTAACCATAAGGAATTCCCTTAACGTGCTGACCCTTCTCTTGCTCATGTTGTTCATTTTCCCTTCCTTTTTCTTTCTCCTATCTCCAGTTTCTATTGATCAAAAAGAGGTTGTCCCTCCTTCGACCACTTGACCAAGGCGGCCGGATTTCCTTTATTCTCTTCTCGTTCCTTTCTTCCCGTAAGCTCAATGGATGGATTTCTTCCTTAATTCCGGGGCGAAAGAAGCGAAATTGCTTTATTCTCCCTATAATGGATTGGTGTGGTTCCTCTTCTTCTCTTTCTCCTGCCCTCCACATATATACTTTCTGGGTGTTCTCGTATCCGGGGTGTTTTATTGAAATAAACGAAATAAACAAGGGCCAATAGCGTATCCTATCGGCCTCAACTAAGACGATAGCGACCCATACATAAGCTGCTCAATACCTTTCTTACCGTACGGTCTTTCATTTCAATCTAAGGGCAAGAGCTGTTACGCTATTGCTTGATTTACTTAATTCCTGGTGTTTTATTGCAAGAAACGAGGAGGAAAGAAGAAGCTTGACTCGACCGATTCAGGAAAATAAAGTCACCAGTGAGGCTTTAAGGAAAGGCGCGGGGCCGCTAGCTGCTCAATTGATTGCTTTCGAACCGAGGGGGTATCAACAGAACAGGGGAGAGGAGGAATCTGTCGCTACTGTAGTTGCTCTTTTGTCTCTATCTGGCGGTCCAAAACGAGCGTATCGGTCCATTCCGTATTCCCGTTCTCTTATAAAGAATGGGTCTCTTCCCCTGGCCTCGTTGTCTCTATCGATCTCACAAGTCTCTCTGGTATAGGCAAGGGCTCATCTGTGAATGAATCCCTTGACTTTCTTCCTCTTCTCCTCCCCCAGTCTGGTCTCCTTCTTTGTATCGGTGTTTGTTGCGGAGCGGAGGTCAAAAGGAGCTTTGGGAAAGTCCCCAACAGCAACTGGATCAATCTTTGTTGGCTGGCTTGCTTGGTTGGTGGCTAGGGCGAATCCCTGGGTTGCTTCCCCAGCTACGTATGAATCCCCTGCTGTTGTGTTGCTTGCTTTGCCCGCTATCCTTCATCCCATTCGTCTTGTCCAGGCTGGTAAGGAGAGAAAGGGGCACTCTTTAAACTTGTCTGAGGTATCTAAATCGGGGGAGCTCCAGGAACTTCCTTATGGACCTTAGAAGTTGCAGCTCGCTCTTTGCTTTATGGAGAAGAGCAAGAGTGGGTCACAGAAGACTGAGCTCATAATCCCGAAATCCACAAAGATTGAGTCAGTAAGTCAAGGACTAAAACGAAACTCTTCCTTATTTTAGAAAAAGGTCTTCTTTGTTGCCCTCTTCCTTTCCCCTTTGACTTTATGGAAGCCCTTCTTACTCAGCTTGAGAGATTGAATTCCGCAAGTTCGAGTGTCTGCGCATTGGAGGAAGACAGAGAGAAGACTAATTCCTTAATATATTATTCTGCTCATTCTTTATATAGATCTTTAGTTAGCTTTTTAGGGGATTCTTTAGGATAAGCCTGAGTTGCTCTTTCTTCTGTCCGAGTCGAGTAAGCGAGCAAGACGGCCGGAGTGAAAGGGAGGGATGGAGTTCGAAGGTGGGATATCGGGGCGAGGGCGGTGTCCACCTGAAACTAAGCAAGCTGTCCTCTCGAGAAGGAGTTTTACCTTTCCGAAAGAAGATTAGGAGTAATCCATTAAGAGTGAAAAAGAGATGAAAGCAAGATTCCGACTTCCGCAAAAAGCAAGTACCCAATTGACTTCCTAAAGATAGGAAATGAGAAGCGGTCAATTCTTAACTCTTCAACTATTACGGATTAGCCCATTAACCGAAGACCGGAAATAGAATAGGAAAATCCCGGATTTTTTGATGTAAAAGTAGCAGCATTTCTTGATTGAATTCTTATTGCAACTAATTCCTCAATACCCGGTAATGCTCTTACTACAAGGAAGTTAGGGCAGCGGGCGGGCAGGAAGTTCGGTCAATCAGTCGCTCAATCCACCCGAGGCAAGGGATCAGAGGGAAGGGCCGGATAGTTATTGGCTAGACCCAATTTCAATAAAGGGGGTAAAGGGAAGGTAAGAAAGAGGAGTTGCTGGATCAGGCGATAGGAAAGAAAGATTAGTTGGTCGAGTTGATTCCATCTCCTTTCCTCTTTCTTTTCCTTAGAGAGTTTCTCGCTTTCGTAGTCTAGCATAACATACGATTATACTATAGCATAGTATACTTGCGCTTTAGCATAGCAGTATACCTTATCTTATCTTATATAGTTTTGATGCTTGATGCGTAATATTACAATTCTTCTTTCCTTTTATCCACTATAGCAATAGATATACCAAAAAAGCAAAAAGTGACTATAGAATAGAATAGAATAGATAGGGCGTATGAATGTTGGCCATTTTTCAGGCATAACGCACAAAGCACTCGACTCCCATGGTTTAGAGTGCAACAATCAACAGGCATCGACTAGACTACTACTATACTAAAGGGGGCAAGCAAAGCCCTTCTTAGAAAGCCATTTACTATTCACCATCACCCCTAGTCAATGATGTAGCGAGTGCAGAATCAACTAGTTCCAAACCTTACCCTTGATAAAAAGAGATTGTTGCTGCTTAGCCCAAACACTTGTATTAGACTGTAAAAGTATAAAAATGAAGTCCCAGTAATGAATCGGGAGAGTTCTAGCTCCAACAAAGAAACATCCCAATGGATGAAAGACGATATGGGAAAGGAAGTCTCCACTCCATTTTTCCCTTGGAGCGAACTATATTGCTCTAAGCTCCGCCTAGAAATATCCATCAACGTTTTAGGTTAGAAAAGACTAACTAGGTTCGACTTTACAGGAGAAAGAAGCCCAAACTCAAAAAAAAACTCGATCATCTCCCCCTGTTCAGAAAGAGCTCTTTCATTTCAAAAAGGCAATATGGATGAACTAAACTCAATAGCGGGTCAAGGTACAAGATTCCTTAATCAAAGGCTTCATCCAAAACTCTCAATGCGCGAGCGAAATCAATCCCTTCACTCTCAATACATACCCATTTCCGGTAAGGACACTGTCGGCAAATACTCGAATCCATTGACGGGCGTACAGGAGGAACCTTATGACAAACTAAAGCCTTGCAGAGGAATTCCTTTGCCTTATATATTAGTAAGCTCCTCTAAAAATCCTTTAAATAGGGGAAGATTAGCAAATGCGATATCAAGCTCACTATATCGAGTTGGGTCCCCCGTTTAGTCTATGGGCATTCGCTGTGCCAACTCTGATGCGGAAGCTAGGATATTTCATCATAGCTTCGGATTCTACGACCAGCACAGAACTTACCGAAGATGTTGCAAAAACACAAGTGACGTCAGGTTTTTTCGGGTTGAAAACAAACTATCCGAAGCGGTCTAACAACTTCGTCTGATAAGGTGCCCAAATCTCATTTACGAGCCTTACTTTTACTAGTACTAGTACTAGTACTAGTACTAGTACTAGTACTAGTACTAGTACTAGTAAAAGGGCTCTACCATCACCAAAAATGCATCAACATCTTTCAAACAAAGGCTTACTAATAATGGAAATGCCAGATATCCAATCTTTCAGGTTCAAAGAAGAGGCTCCTAGTGGTTTTCTTTTTCATATAAGAAATGCAAAGGGGAAGATTCCTGATTCCTAGCCTCTCTCTTCTTTGACCTAAACAAGTTCGCTGTATAAGAGAATCTCAACAAAAAGAGGTGATAGTCTGATCTATCAATGGCCAATCAGGAAGAAATATAGGTCCTCTAATGAATCCCCTAGAGAAGGATAGGGGAATACCTTGACTCTCTTCGCACTAACGTTAAGAGCAAATTCAAGCTTCTTCAGTACTCCTTCGGTCAAGGAGATGCCCGAACGATATAGATAGAGTGGAAGCCTTCAGCACTAGGAGTTCTATTCCTTTATCTCTAGTGATTCTCCGGGATTTCTGCTCTATCTCTCGGCTCTCTCTTACGGAAGAGCCTTCCAACTCATGTTATGATATAGATCCCCTTTGATAACAAAGCCCTCGACCATTCATTATCGCCTCTCCGGTTTTTTTAGGAAGATATATGCCCTCTATAGAGTTTCACATAGCCTTTGGGAAGGCTCGGGGGTCAAGGCCTTCTCCGATAATCGATAGGCGAGGCGGATTGATTATTCTCGTCCCGGCCCTAATAGCTGTTATAGTATCCGATGAGTTGGGTGAGGGAGAGGACGACTATTGATGCCTTGAACTCGACTCCTCTAGAGAGTCCTCCTTCCAAGGGGCTATGCTCTGTCCTAACCATTCTTTGCAAAAAGCCCTAAAAAGCAGTAAGTAATAGCGGATTTATTCAAATGCCGGAATAAGAGTCAAATACCTTTGACTCCAACTATGCCCCTATTAGTAAAGCTTGAAAGCAATCATTTTTTTTTGACTATAAAAGTATATCGTATTTACTCCTCCTCCCTAGAGAGGATAGAAGACTGGACTAGAGACTGCCTCGGATTATTAGTGGAAGGAGGTAGGTTCAGTATTCTCTCTCTACCGCCTCCATCCCACGTTCCTACCTCGAGGTATAGAATCTCTTCTGACTCAACGCCTTTCTAATAATTAGTAGAGATTGGAGAGGAGATAGATGCCCGAAAAATCATCTGTATCAGTAAAGATAAAGAAAAAATGCCTTTCTTAATTCCCTTTTACAACATAGGAGGGAGGGGGGTTGAAAACGTTCTGAAAAATCTGGCTGGATCGAATAGAACTTCTGTCTTTAGACACTCCTTATGCGACGGGGGAGGGACAGGAGGCCCCATCCGAGAAAAGAGAGGGGAGGTCTGGGTCTCCGGCCTGTAAAGCTCATAAATCAAGCACTTTTAGGTCATAAAAGGCAGTGTAATAAAGCATCAATACTGATTCGTCCATAATTAGATGAATCTGTTCATAGAACAAAAAAAGAAAGAGCCTCGAACCAATAAAGACTGAGGAGATTGACTCAAGAACAAATTGAATTAGGAGCTCCATTGTAGAATTCAGACCTAACCATTAATCGAGAAGCGATGGGAACGACGGAACCTGTGAATGCAGAAGATTCTATTGAAAACGAATCCTAATGATTCATTGGGTGGGATGGCGGAACGAACCAGGGACCAATTCATTTATTCTGATAGGTCATGGGCTAACCCTACAACTGAAATAGATATTGAAAGAGTCTCGCCCGCGAAAGCTTTCTTTTCTTTTTTGCTAAATTTGGGGCAATCCGAACCGAAACGATAAAAGACAAAACAAAATAAAGATTCGTTATAACGCGAAATTTTCTATCAATTTTTTCTAAAAAGAAAAGATATGTTTAGTTATATATCCAAACAAGATATAAAAATTCCTAATAGATTAGATGAAATCTCAAAGAATCCCATGATTCAGTGTATTATTCATTAAATACCATGTATATCTTAATTAAAGATTTTTGATTTCATTCGCGAGGAGCTGGATGAGAAGAAACTCTCGTGTCCGGTTCTGTAGTAGAGATGGAATTGAGAAACTACCATCAACTATAACCCCAAAAGAACAAGATTCCGTAAACAACATAGAGGAAGAATGAAGGGAATATCTTATGGAGTGGAGGTAATCGTATTTGTTTCGGTAGATATGCTCTTCAGGCACTTGAACCCACTTACATCTAGACAAATAGAAGCAGAGCGACGAGCAATGACACAATATGCACGTCGTGGTGGAAAAATATGGGTACGTTTATTTCCAGACAAACCAGTTACAGTAAGACCTACGGAAAGCAGCTATAAAAGGGATTCGGGGAAAGGATCTCCCGAAGATTGGGTATCTGTAGTTAAACCAGGTCGAATACTTTATGAAATGGGCGGAGTTTCAGAAATTGTAGCCAGAAAGGCGATTTCAATAGCGGCGCCCAAAATGCCTATACGAACTCAATTCATTATTGCGGGATAG